TATGAATTTTTTAAAAAATTACACATATTTTATTATTATAAAAAAATGAAAAAAATTGAATTAAATAAAAAAGCATAAAAAAAATAATAAAAAACATAAAAAAAATTAAACATTTGTAGTCATAATCATACATAATAAATAAAAAAAAAGGAGCAGAAGCAGAAGAAGTACATCACATAGAAATTCTCAAAGAGAAATCCGTGTATATGATTATGAATTGTTTCTCGAAAACGAGCCTCGAGATATAATTTTAAAAATGGAATAATAAATCCAACAAGAATCTTCAGTTAGAATAGACAAAAACTTTTAAATTCCTGATTTATCTGGTACCCTTATACGTATATCTGGAGGGTAATAAAGCAAGAAATATGATGAATTAATGAGATTATTGAAGCAAATACATGAAAAGTATTAAGAAATGAGTTCTAAATATTAAAAAGACAGATAATTTACAATTTTATGTTTAGTACCGAATTAAATGGTAAGTTTAGTAATAGGAATAAGGGGGAAATAAATAAATTAAATAATGAATGATACTAAAACTAAAATAGTCGCGAATCAGCCGATTAGTAAAATGGTTTAAAGGACTATTAGAGTATATGGAGATTATAAAGATGTAGGTTATGCAATAAAATAAATATATTAAATAATTGAAGAAAAAGGAAGCAAAGTTGGAGATCAAGAGAGTAAAATTTGTGATCCTGTGAATATTTAAGAGTAAGAAGTTTAGGTTAAATATGTTGTTTATAGCAGGGTTAAAAGGTATTTGGAAAATAAGAATGATTTTTTGAGACATATTTAGAAAAAATATGATGTTAGTGTAAAATTATATGAAGATAGGAAGGCTAGATAACTTAAATAAAACGAATGTGTTTGTCTTTTAAAAGGAAGATTGTAAAGTGTGAGTAATTGTACGGCCAATTTATATGAAAAAATCGAAGATTTTTATGAGAATGATGATGATTCTAAATAGGATTTTTATATAAAATTTTTCATCCCTAATAAATATGTTACGAAACTTATAGGAGCGGAAGGATGTATGATTAAAGATATTTCATAAAAAAGTAAAGGGGCCTAAATTAAAATATTGAGTAATAAAGAAAGGGATAATGGGGATTAGAAAGAATGTCTTATTAGTATAGGAGGTAATATTACTTCTAAAATTACTGCATGTTAGTTAGTACTTTAGTAATTGGAAATTTTCAAAAATGGGGGACCTATTTTGGTTTCTGGAAAGGCTATGAATGAAAATTTAGTTACTTAATTTAAGTACTCTGTTTAAGATTAATTGAATTAAAAAGTAAATTTTTTTTTTTAAATAAGATATTTTTATATTATTTATCATTTAGGTTAAAGTAAAACATCACCTTATAATAATAGAAATAGTTCAGAAAAAGGAAAAAATAACGCGAGATCAAGAAGTAGATCAAAAGATGATTTAAAGAAGAAAAAAAATCAGAAAATTCTTAAACTTAATCTAGAAAATCACCCATTTAATAAAAAAAGTGTTTTATGAGGATTTTGAAGGAAAAATAAGATTTTTAGTAAATTAAAAACTTGCAAGACGCATGTAAAATCAATTATCAAATATTAAAAGTTAATCAAATTGCTCGAAGATTTATTTCGAAGATGTATCATATTTTTTTTAAATAAAAAATATATACATTTATATTTATATAAATTAAAAATTAAAAATAACAATGTTTTTTTTATTTTAAAAAACCATATCAAAAAAAGGTGATATAATTCATTTTTTTTGATAGTGGATTTTTTAAAAACACTATCAAAAAAAAGAAAACAATTATAATATATAATATATAAACATATACTTATATATAAAAATATATTTATATATTTTTATATATATTAAAAAATAATATTTTTTTTTATAAGGATTCTGATTATTCAGAAAGTAGTAATTATAGATAATTAGTAATTAAAGGTAATAGTATGCAAAATAATAACGCTTTTAATTTAATTTAAAGATAAATATTTTCATTTGAAATGGAAAATTTAAATAGTTATTGATTATTTAATAATAATTTAGAACAATTTTTTTTTATTTTATATTAATAATTTGATTTTAATAATAATTATAATAAAATAGTGATTAAATTAATTATAAGCAAATAATTAATATATATATATTATAGTTAAATCATAACATGATTTTAATCACCAATAATTTAATTATACTTTCTTAATCAAAAAAATAATAATTAAGAAAATAAATAAAAAATTAATAATTTATATAAAATGCAATTTAACATCATTTCATAAAATATTAATAATTTTCATATTATTTTTGTTATTAAAAATAATTTTTATTGATAAAATATTATCTTATAGTTTTTATAAAACTATTAGTAACCATAATTATAAAAAATAGCTAAAAAATAATATTAAAAATTTTAATAATCTTTTTCATATAATAGATTAATAATTAAAAAAAAAATTCATAAGAATATAGTTTTTTAATTATTATAAAATTGTTTATAAACTTTTGGATAAATAATTAGTAATTAAAATAAAAGATAATAATTTTAAAATATTTAAAAAATAATAATATTATCAATATTATATAAAGAAATATATAAATTTATATTTAATAATAAAAAAATATAAAATTGTTAAAAATAATAATAATTGTAGAAATTTCATTTAAAAATAGTCATATATGTATTTATATTTAAATAGTATATATAATATTTTTAAAAAATACTAAAAAATTGAAAATAAAAAATTGTGAAAAAAAAAAAAAAAATTTAAATAAATAAATATGTATATAAATATAAAAAAAACAAAATATTATATAAATATAAAAGTAAATGAATATATATATATATTTATATATAAATATATATATATAAAATATATATATATATAAGTATTTATATATATATATTTATATTTTAATTATATATAATAATACATTTATATTAATATATCTATCAAATTTATATTTTTAAATTTATTAATTAAATAATTTTTAATTTTTTTTTTTTTTTTTTATTTTCATTTTTTTTTTTATATATAATTATATAAATATGTGTATATTTTTTATTTTAATTTAAATTTATTTTCTTTTTATTTTTTTTTTATTTTTTTTTTATTTTTTTAATATTTATTTTTATTTTTAATTTGGATATATGAAAATTTTTTTTTATATAAAATATATATTTTTTTACTTTTTTCTCCATTTATCTTTTTATTTTAATAATTTTTTTGTTTTGATTTTTATATTTTAACACATGTTTTAAATTTTATTTCATTTATTATTATATTCTTTTTTATTATTATTATTTATTTAGTATTTGTAATTAAAAATCATTAAAAATTTAATTAATCTATTTTAAATTTTTATTATTTTATAGAAATCTATCTAAAAAATGAATATTTTAATTTACATTATAAAAAATTCTAAGGTATTATAAATCAATAAAAAAAAATTATTTTAATAATATATCTGAAAATAAATAAAAAATAATCATAAATTACTAATTTACAGTTTTAAAATTAGTAACCATGCTATACATATACAGTTCTTTATTTTTTATATTTATTCATATTTAAACAAAATTAAATAAATTTTTTTCTTAATGATGAATGCATTTGATATTTTTCTTTATAAATTAGATTTTTATATATTAAGAATAATTTTTTATTTTTTTATATTAAATTGTTATATATAAATAAATATATATTTTTTAAAAAAATATTACTATTTATGATGAAATTATATTTAAAATGAAATTATAACTAATAAGCTAAAACATGTAAATAAAATAATTTTATAATTTATATCTAATTTCAAATAAAAATGTGATGACTAACTTAATTGTTTAAAATTTATAATAAAAAAAACAAGTTTTTTTATTATTTTAATATTAAATAATGTTTTAATGAATCTCTTATTTAAAAAAAATAAGAATATTTTAACAATTGAGTATATTATTAAATAAAATTATTATATTAATCTTAATTTTTAGTTTATGAATAAAAAATAGAAAATTTTAAACCCAATATTGTGGATAAATCAGCTTATTTTGTAATTAATAATTACAGTAGTTTTTTATTAATTTTATTTTAAAAAAGAATATAATTGAATTGAAAGAAATTAAATAAATAATTATAAATTTAAAATTTTTATAAAATCATATTTTTTTTGAATATAATTGACTAATATTAAATAAAAAATATCAAAAATAAAAGTTCTTGTTTATTCTTTTGTTAATAAAATAATAATTTGTTTATTTTGCAATTTCTAACTTATTTATAAATTATTTAAGAAGTTTATTATACATAAATTTATATGTTAATTTATTATTTTTATTATAAAAAATGAAAACATAATATAAAATATTTAATTGAATATTAATTTACTTATTTTCCATTACAATTTTAATAATTTTATTTAAAATTTTCTTTCATTAATGTATTTTTTTATTTTTTTTTGGAAAAATTATTAAGCCTAATCATTTATATAAAAGTTTTAGTATAATATATGTTCCTAATATTTAAATTACTTAATTTATATGTTAGAACAAAACTATTTTAAATATTCTTTAAAAAAATTTATAATAATAAAAAGAATTTATAATAATAATAATAAGATTATTTATATAAAATGTTTTATTAATCAAATTATAACCATAATAATATTTTTTTTAATTTTTACTAATTAATTAATAATATTATTATATTATTATATTATTTATTATTCTAAAAAAGTATTATAATTTTTTTATTAAATATTAACATTTTTATCAATAATAATAAATTCATTTTTTTTTTGCCTACAAAAAGTTAATATTAAAACTAAAATTATTAAATATAAAAAAAAAAAAAACTTTTTTGAAATGTTTTAAAGCATAAATTTATATATTTAGACATAAGATATAAAATTAAAAATTAAATACAAAAAAAAATATAAAATTAATATTTTTTATATAAAAAAAATAAAAATAATAATAAAAATAGTTTGTAAAAAAAAAAAATATATGAATTCACACCCAGAAGAATAAAAAGAAGAAACACTAGCTACCCCTGGTGTCCTTGATAAGTATTAAGCTGCAGGAAAAATAACAAATTGTAAATAAAAAGATAATAAAAAAAATACTTTGACTTTTTTTTTTAAACAAAAACTAAAATTTCCAAATATATATATATTTATAACCTTTTATTTTTTTAATTAAAAAGTCGTTCTCGAATAAGTATTATAAAAAATAAAACCAGGTGCTAAAATAATAGAAATATGTGATTTTGGAGATAAACTTATTTAATCAGAAGTAATATAAAAATACATATTTAAAATGTTTTATATATATAAAATAAAAATAGTTAGCTAAAGCTTACACTAAAAAAAAAGTAGAAAAAGGCCCTGCATTCCCCACATGTATTTCCATTAATGAAATATGTGGACATTATTCCCCTCTTTTATCTGATTCCGAAGATAAAGAAAAAGATAATTCCCTTTTAAAAGAAGGAGATGTAGTTAAAATGTAAAAAATATATAATATATATGCATATAATAATATAACAAAAATAAAAAGTGATTTAGGTACACATATTGATGGTTTTATAGCTTTAGGTGCTCATACAGTTGTATGCTAAGATAATTAATAAGTAACAAAAGGTAGAAAGGCTGATGTAATTTTAGCCGCTTATAAAGCTTTGTAGGCTACTTTGAGAACTTTAAAACCTGGTGGTAAGAATAATGATTCAACTTAAGTGATAAATAAGGTAATTGAATCATATAAATGTAATGCTTTGGAAGGAGTTTTGAGTCATGAATTGAAAAAATACATGATAGACGGAAACAATGTGATTATTAATAAAGAAACTTTCGACTAAAAGGTTGATGATCATGAATTTAATGTAAATGAAGTCTATGCTATAGATATTATTGTTTCTAGTGGAGAAGGAAAAGCTAAAGAAACTGAATTAAGAACTACAGTGTATAAAAGAGCTTTGGAAAGATCTTATAATTTAAAAACTAAACACGGAAGAGCATTTATTTATGAAATTAATGAAAAATATCCAGCTTTATGCTTTTCTTTGAGAAATTTCGAAGATGAAATTACAACAAAACTTGGAGTAGCGGAATGCTTAAAGCATGATTTGTTAAATAATTATCCAGTTTTAACTGAAAAAAAAGGTGAGTTTGTTGCTTAGTTTAAATATACAGTTGCTATTATGCCTAAATAAATCGTAACTGTTGCAGGATTAGGGTTAGATGAGTAACTTTTCGAGAGTTAGTATTAAATTACTGATGAGACTATTAAATAATTATTAGATGTATATTTTTTTTTCTTTTTTTTCTTTTTATTTATATATTTTTTAATAGACTCCTATTACAAAAAAAGCTGCAGCAGCTAAGAAATGAATAAGTTTTTTTTCTTTTTTTTCTTTTATTTATTTAAATTTTTTTTTTTTTTGTGTTTATGTTTAAGTATTTGTTTTATTTTTTTCTTAAAAGAATAATATATGCATTTTTTTAAATTTTTATTTATGTTTAAATAACAAAAAATTAGGAATATAATAGAAAAAAAAAAGAAAAAAAAATTAAAATAAAATCCATTAATATATATATATAAAAAAAATGAATTTTTAATATGAAAAAAGTATAGCTAATATATATATATGTATAATTCTTTTATCACTTTTTTTTTTTTTTTTAAAAAAAAAAGAATATCAGTTATGCACACAACTTTCATAAGTTGGAATCATATATTTGATATTAATAAATGCATCCTAATTATAATTTTAAAATAAATAAATGAAAAATGTATACTTCTCCTCCTGTTTATTCAAATAATTCTAAAGTTTCTTATATAAGATCTCCTAAACTGAGTTTTTTTCTTTAACCATATTCAATATAATCACCAATATTATTGTTTTTATTTTTAAACATATTTAAAATAGGTAATATTTATCTATAATAAGGTACCTTTTTATTTTTATTTTTTATAAAATAAATAAAAAAAGAAAATTACTAAAGCTTCTCCAATCATATCTCCGCTTTAGACTAGTTTTTATAAAATTTTAAGTACAATTGAAATAATTTCATGATGTCTAGTATTTAGCGCAGCTTTTATTTAATTATATTTTTTTTTTTAATTAATAATTTTTACTTTTTATTGGAATAATAAGTTAAGGAATTACAGGTAAAATTTTACTTGAACCTTTCTAAAGTAAATCATTAGTACCTAAAATAGCTAAAAATCTATAAGGATCAATTCTTTCTCTTAATCCGTCAAAGAAAATAGGCAAATAATGATGATAATCAAGTTATTCAGGTGATATTTTCCATATAATATTATTTACAGATCCTTAATGATCTATTTTGATAGGTAAATCACCTCTATCATAATATCTTCGAAATTCTGAAAGAGGAATCTTTCTTTATAAAAAAGCACCAGAAACAGGCTAGGGAGGTATACAAAATTATTTATGGGGTAATTAAGTTGATGTTTTTCCACCCGTACCTTATCTTAAACCCTAGTATTTATCTTTTTGTTTATTTAAATTAAATTATATATATATATGTAATTAAATTGTATATATATAATTCACTTATTGTTGTCGCGGCTTATGAATCCTCGTATATAGGAATATGCTTCTTTTCAAGGCATTTTTAAGTAGGAATATATTCTGGGGGATAATCACCAAATGGAGAATGCGCATTCTTTGGTGCATTGCTACTTTTCCATGGTTTATAAGTACAGTTTCGGGATTTAGCTAGCATGTTCTTTAGGTGGTCTTCGACAATTAATTATGAAGCTATATTTTCTTTTTTTAAAATTTATTATGCATTTTATTGGAGTTGGACTTTAGGTTGCATTATATTGTTTTTGTATTATTTTATTTTTTGTTGCAAAAATGAGTTATATTATTATTTAATTTTATTATTATTTATTGTTAATGTAATTATTTTTATTTATATTAAATTATTAATTTTTTTTGGATTTTATAAAAATAAGTTATAAATTTATTTTTAATTTAAAAAATAAATTTTAATAGTTAAAAATCAACATTCTTGAAAATTTTGAATATTAATAAATATATTTTTCATATATATAAAATATTGCTATTTATTTATATTTTGTAGAAAATATTTCTATAAATTTTTAGAATTTTTTACATTTAAATTAAAAATAATAATTATTTATGTATTTATTTAAAAATATTATAATTTTTTAAATTATATTATAGAAAAAGTTAATATAAGATATTAATTTAATTGCAAAAAATAATAATTTTTTAAAATGGATTTTTTGAGAAATTTAAATTTCTTCTCAGGATATATTATTGGATTTTCATTAATTTGGTTGGTTCCGAAAAAGCAATTTATGTAATTGGGATATTTTTATGAATTATTAAACACAAGTAAATGAAAATAAAAAATTTAAATAAATTTTAATAATAAAGATTAATTAAATATTTATGTCTCTAGTGAAGAAGAATAAGAAGATTAGGAAAAAAATATTATAAATAAATAAGAATAAAATATTGATAAAATCTAATAAAATAAAAAATGAAATTTAATTGAAATTATTAAATGGTATTTTATAAAAATATTTTGAGAAAATAATAAATATATATATATATATATATATAATTATTTATTCATATATATATTTATATTTTAAAAAATATTTACTTATTTTTAATTTTAAATATCTACATATCTACACTATATATTTAATTTATTCAATAAAAATATAATTAAAAATTAATTCATAATACTTATTTTTTTATAATATTTTTATTTAAATATTTATTCTAATTTTTATTAAAAAAATTATTAATTCTTTTTGTATTTATAAAAAAATATAAATATTTTATTATTATTTTTACAAATATTTTTATTTATAAATTAAATAACTTAAACAATATTAACATAAATTAAAATTTTCTAGCATCAAATTAATCATATCAATATATAGAAAATATATTTAATTTTATTTTATAATTTCATTAAACTAAATAATTTTAATTTTAAAGTTTATTCGTAATTAATTTTTTTATAAAAAAAATATTGTTCTAATGTAAAATAAAATAATTTAAACAAATATCTTATGTTTTTTTTTTTTTTTAACAAAAAATAATAATTTTATTTGTATTATAATGTGTAATTTAAACTGCTTTATCTTTTTATAATTAAATAAACATATCTTTATCTAATACATATAATTTTAAAAATACATAATAAACTTTAATATTTATTTAGATGTAATATGTAAACTTAAATTTTTAAGAATTAAATTTAATACATTACATATTAACTAATTTTAGATATATGAAATAAAAAAAAAAGGTATTATGAATTATTTTTAATAAAAAAGACTTTAAAAATAAATTTATAGAAGAATTTTTATAATCTATTTTATAAAAATTAAGAATGAAAAATAATTGATAACGAAAAAATTATAAATATTTAATGATAAATGCAAATTTTAATAGTAAAAAACAAATAAACAAACTATAGAATTATCTTAATAAAAAAATTTTAAATGAAAATCTTCGACAAAGATAAAATTCTAAATACTTAAAAAATAATTAAAAATGTAAATATTAATAGAAAAAAATAAAAAATATAAAAAATAATATGTATTTACCATAAAAAAATATGGCTTTAATTTAATTTAAAATTAGAAATTAATTAAATATTCGAATTTAAAAGTTGAATACTTATTATAGTTGTAAAATAATATTCATGATATAATTTAATATTAAAATTAAGTATTTAAAAAAGATATCGAATTATAAAAATATGTTACTACTAAATAAATATTAATATAAAAAAAATATATATTATAAGGATAAATTAGTAATGTTTATAGAAAATATTATTTAAAAAAAAAAAATAATAATATATTTATAAATATTTATTTTTATTTTTAAAAATTATTATAAGAAAAAATATTATATATATTTTTTTAATTAAAATATAAATAAATAAATCTAAATGGATTAATAAAACTATCATTTAACTTCAGGATTTTCATTTCATAATTTTGAAAAATATATATTGAATTCTTAATAGAATTTTTAAGAACTAAAGGCTCATATAAAATAATAAAATATTTACAATTTGAAAATACGTTTTAATACTTATCGATTACTTTTAGGAATATTCAAACCAAATACTACAGATAGTGAAAAAAAAGAGATTTTAAATAAAAATAGATAATGCTATAAAAAATAATTTGAAACAAAAAATAATACAAATAGTTGCTTTTAATAAAATCCTTTATTAAAAGAGATTAAAATGGAATTAAGTTAGAATGAAATTAATTTGAAAAACGAAATAAAAAAAGATGTTGATAGGACTTATTAAAATAATTAACTTTTTTAGGAATAAAAAATAAAAAATATTATGAATAATGTATTATTTATTTATGCTAGAAAATATCCAAATGTCTCATATAAATAGGGTATGAATGAACTTGTTGCAAATTTAATTTAAATTTATTTTTCTGAACTAAATTATATTTAATAAAATTTAAATAATTAAACATATTCTTAAAGATCCAAATAAATGGCTTAAATTTTTATTTGTGAAGAATATTCTGAGGCTGATATTTATTTTATTTTTGAATTTTTAATGGAAAAAGCTACATTTGTGGAGTTTTTTAAAGGAAATAATAGCGATAAATAATACCCTTTAATGTAAAAAATAAAAACCATTGAAGATAAGTACTTGAAAATTATTGATACGGAGATTTTTAAACATTTAAAATTGCTTAATTTTGATGTTAATGTTTGTATTATTAGATGGATTAAGTGTATTTTTTGTAGAGAATTTTAGCTTTTAGATGAGTGTTTTTTAATTTGGGATTTAATTTTACTTTAATTTTTCGAAAATAATAATTAAAATGTTCATTTTATTGATTGTTTATGTTTAGCTTTAATTTAAAATTTTAGAAATCAAAGTATATTTTTTTTTTTTTTTCTTTTTTAATAATATTTTTTTTTTTTTTTTTTGGTCCGTGGGGAAAAAAAAGTTTAAGTTTTGAAAAAAATGAGGAAATTTTAGAATTTTTTACCAATTTCAAAAATAAGAAAAAAATGTGAAATCTATCATTGATAAAAGTCTAGAAATTTAAAAAAAAATTAGAAAAAAGTTTAAATTAAAATGAAATTAATGATAATATTTAAGTAGAAAATAATAATTTTTAAAGGTTTTCGAATTAACTTTTTGATGATAAAAATCAATAAAAAAAAGAAAAAAAAATAGAAAAATAAAATGAAAGTTAACAATATTAAATTTAAATAAAAGCTTAATTTCCTATAATAAAGTTTTCATAAAAAAATAAAAAAAAATATTCGTCTTCGTCTAGTTCTTCTTCATAGTCTTTAAATTCTTCTTAAGGTTCTTCTTCTAAGTCTTAATATAGTGATTAAAAAATTGGAAAAAAAAAAAATGTTTAGAGAAAAATCATTTTGGATAAAAAATAAAGTCCTGAAAAATAAAAATAAGAAGAATATTTAAAATAACAAATTAAATAAAAAAAAAGAAAATAAGGAAAAATAAATGAAAATGAAAATGAAGATGAAGATGAAGATGAAATTGAAAATGAAAATGACTATTAAAAATAAGATAAAGAAATAAAACAAAAAGAAAAAAATTTAAATAATTTTTTTTTTTAAAAAAAAAAAGAAGAAAATAATAATAATAAATAATAATAATAATAATAATAATAATAATAATAATAATAATAATAATAATAATAATAAATGATAATAATAATAAAAATAATGATAATAATAATAATTCTAATATTAATAATAAAAATGAGATTTTATAAATTTAAAATAAAATTTAAAAAACAATTTAAAGCCTAACAGATTTATATAAAGAGTAAAAAAAAAAAATTAATTTATTAATATATAGATATATATATATATTTTAATATTATATTAAAAAAAGATTTATTGTATTCTTTTTTTTAATATTAAATAAAATAAAATAAATATTTTTATTTATATTTTTTGACAATTAAAAGAAAAAAAAATAAGTTATATTATTACAAAATAAATAATATAATTATATATTGTATTGTATATATATATATATATATATATATAATATATATATATATATTTATTATTTATATATATATATATAGAAATTTAGATAACGATATTCTTAAAAATGCTATTTTCGAACTTGAAGTAATTGAATCATATTTTTAAAAAAATATTTTTAGTTAACATTTAAAAATTAATAATAAACCTATATTATTTAATAATATAACTTAAAATAATAGAATTGATTTTGAAAATAAAAAATAAGTATCTCTAGAATCTTATTAATAAGAATTAAATAAAAAATTATAATAATAAAATATTGTTATATATTCTGATTAAGATTATAATAAAATATAAACATTAGATAAAAACAATGATTTGAATCATTAATTTGATTAAAAATTAGAATAAAATTATGAATTATAAAATTAATATAATTTGGAATAAAACTAATAATTAATATAAGTATAAAAATCATAATAATAAAAACTAAGAAGGCCAAAAAACACAGATCCATTAGGAAGATTAAAAATATGATTTTTATTTGTTTGTATCATAAATAAAAAATAATATAAGCTTTCATATATATTTTTTAATAATAATATAATATTATTATATATTTAACAATAAAATATTTTAATTAGTTAAAAAAAAGAAAAATCTAAAAAGCAATAAATAATAAAAATAATACTTATATATTTGAAATGTTAATTATCATTTATATATATCAAGCTTAGCCTATTTTATCAAAACAAGTGACGATAACATAGTAGTTACAATAAAAATTGCAAATATCTACTAATATCCAAAAAAGGAAATAGTTGTTTAAATAAAAGCCCCACTAATACTTCCTGTACTATCAATAATTGCTGTAACTAAAGCTAATAAATGTTTACTACTTTAAAATCCTGATTATTCCACTAAATCTATTGCTACAGAACCCCCTATCATATTATAGGGTCCTCCTAAAAAAATACCGGCTAAAAGGACCAGAAAATAATAGGGACCGGGATTTCCTGGAGGCATATTATATAATATTACCATATTAATAAAACTCAAAAAAATAAATAAATTAATAACAAAAGCCCTTTATTAAAATTTATCGACTAAATATCCCAACAAAACTCCTCCAGCAAATGTCCCTATTTCGTTCATAGAGCAAATTACTACAGCCTATTCTTTCATGCCATTTTTTTATAAATAAATGGGTAACCAAAAAATTATGCCATATATAGTCCCTTTTACACCCCCCATAGCTATAGCATACATTGCCAATCCGGGAACTTTTACCCAAGCACTGAAATAATTTATATTTTCAGCTACATCTTTATTATGTTAAGAGTTTATTTAATTTTCTTATATTATATATTATTATTATTATTATTATTATTATTATTATTATTATTATTATTATTATTAAAGGTTCATTATTCAAATTTTCAATTATTTTATCGTTTTTTAAATCTTCTTCGTCTTTTGTTAAAGAAGTATCTTTTTCATCTTCATAGTCTTTTATAATAATATTTTTGTTATTTTTTAAATCTTACGGAATTATTATTTTTTGTTTTTGGTTTACTTCATTAAGAAATATGTTTTATTTATCTATTTAGAATATTTTTTGGTTGTTTTTTTCATTTAAGGATGATATTTGTTACGGAAATTAATTAACATTATTATTTTCGTCTATTTAGTTATTCTAAACTTCTTGTTAAAATTATAAGATTATTGGTTAGTCTATTTAATTTTTTTATTTTTATTGAATTTAAGGGTTTTCGTCTTGCATTTATAAATGATTTAGTTATATTTATTATTATTATTTATTTTCCGTTTTTTCACTTAAAGCTTGTAAATCTTATTAAGTAATACCGAATTTTTAAGGATAAGGGTCCAAATATAGCACGCAAACGACACCAAGGACAAGAAGAAACATCCCTGAGAAAAATAGAGAATATTTCCAGTCTAATTTCATTCTATTAACTGCCATATTTTATATAAAATAACCTATCATATTTCCAAAATTTCCGTTTGTAGCCCATACTCCCATTAAAAGTCCCTTTTTTCCTTTTCCAAACCAATTTCCCATACAAGAAACGACACTTGGCCATGTTGTAGATTATGAGATCCCATTTAATATCATCATAATTAAAATAAAAGGCTTATTTAATGTTACTTGACATACAAAATAAATAATCAAAAATGCTATAGAAGCATTAATCATGCCTATACCCAAAACATATTACAAAGGAATTTTTTTAGTAAATGATCCTTATAATTACATTGAAAATGCATAAAATAATAAAAATGAAGTGTCCACTAAACCAAGAAATTTATCATCTTGGTCTTACATTTGGTTTTTTAAACTCTCTTTTGAAGAAGACCAAGATGTACGAGTGGCATGAACTGCGGCATAGGCTAGAAATGTTAATGTAAACGAGGCTATTTAATTTCTTAATATTATTTCTTGTTTATTGTTGAGATTTTTTAACATTATTATAACTTTTTCCTTCGAATATTTTTTTTTATTTTTTTACACTATTGTATTATGTATATATATTTAATATAAAATAAAAGAATCTTTATCTTGAATATTTTTATTTTTTTAACTTTTGATTATCTATTCTGATTTTATTAAAATTAAATAAAAAAAAAAAATGTTTTAAAATATCAAAAACTTATCGATTTAAGCTAAAAAAGCATTAATAGGAGTCATAATTATAAAATTTGCAACTGGATTTATAACAACATGGGGAATATTAAATATTTATTATTATTGCTATTTTAAAAGTGTAAAAAAATAAAAATAAAATACTTATAATTAAAAATAGTTAAATCCTGATTTAAAAATAAAAGAAATAAGTTTACTGATTACGATAACAACAATACCAGTAGGAATAGCTTCCTTATTTTCATTAAGAATATGCCGTAAATATGGTTATGAACCAATAATTAGAATTTCTGTTATAATTTCTTCTTGCAGTTTAATTGTATCATCATATTAGGATACTTTTTATAAATTCGCATTATTTTATATGATAATTCCTATTTTTTTGATAGGATCATGCGTAATGCCTGTTTTGTATTGCCTGTGGAGTCATTTTCCTAAAAATACAGGAAGCGCGACAGGTATTGCATTGGCCAGTTTTGGAATTTCGGGATTTTTATTTTTAATTATTACAAATAAAATGGTAAATCCATAAAATTTAAAAGCGGAAATAGATTATTAAGAAGGAAAATAAGTATTTTTATATAATTATTTTATAAAAAAAAAAGAATTTAAAATAAAAATAAATAAAATATAAAAATATATGAATATAAATATAAAATAGATTTTTTATAATATATATAGTTATATATATTTATATATAATTATATATATTTATATTCACATATTTTTTTAATTATATATATATATTTTATTTTAGAATTATAAACTTTTTGGAGAAAATGTATTTAAAAATATTCCTTAAATGGTATTTAATGTTGGCTTAATTTAACTTGCTTTAAATACATTCGGCTGTTTTTTTATTTCATACAATAAAAACTAGTAAGATGACTTAGAAAATAATAAATAAAATATTTAACAATTAATTCCTAATAGTATTAGATCTTTAAAGAAAGATATTTTTTCATAAAATTTTTAACTCATTTATTTTTCATCATTTTTTATTAATTTTATATTTATTTTTTTATCATTAAATTTTAAAATATATGGATTAACGAAAATTAATAATGATCTTTTTTTAACTTATTTAGCAACAATAGCTTCTGTTTTGGGTAGTTTATCGACTATTTTTTGGGGATTTATTGTTGATAAATTTACTTTCGTATATATTTACCCTAATATGATTTTATGTTTAATTTTTTCTATTTGCTTATTTCCTTTACTTAGTTCTTTTAAATTTTTATTTGCTTTGTAAGTTTTTTTTTATGTATTTTTTTAAATATAATATAAAAAAGAGATTTTATAATATTCTCACTTGTTGAAAAAGGTATATATACTATTGTTGCCCCTGGTTTAGTTTAACTATTTGGAATGAGTGTTGGAGCTGAATTATCTGTTATTAAAGGCACATCTTTTTATGCAGCTTTATTTTTGGTTCCTATTATTTAAATATGGCTTTTACTTCATTTTAATTATGATTAATGTATTTTTTTTATTGGTTTGTCTTTGTTTATTTCTTATTTTATGTCTTATTATATTCGTTGAATATTTTTATTTAAAATATAAATATATTTAAATAATAAATATATTATTTTTTTATATAAAATTTTTTAAAAACATTTTTATTTTTTTATTTAAATTATTTTATATGTATTTTAATTTTTAATATAAAAATTTATTTTTTATTAAAGTAATATAATTTAAACATAAAAATAATTATATATTTATTATTAGTATATATTGTAAATAGAAATAGTAATTTTAATATAAAAAAAAAAATTAACTGATATTAATATATATATATATATATAAATGGGATAAGAATGTTCAACATGTAATTGTTCAAAATAAAACGAATTTACAACAGATGCCATAATAGAAAATAACAATGAAAACAATGCTACAGTTTAATTATATTAAGATAGATCAGCAACTATGTTTAATTCTTAAAATATAAATTATTAAAATAATAATGGGAATATAATGAGTGTTTTTGTTAGTCCAAATAAGAATAATGCTACTCAATAATCTGTTAAATTATAAAAACAAATAAACCATAAATTAAATTAATTATTTTTATTTTATTTTATTTTTAAAAAAAGTATTAAAAATCACCAAAATTAGCTCAAAATAGTCTTCTTTGTAATGAAGAGCCTTTAAACGATGAAAATAATATAGGAGGTGTAATAGATGCTAATGAATAGAAATATTTTACTTAATAAGAATTTATATAAACATTAAGTTAGAATTTTTAAAACAGAAAAACGAGAGAAAAAAGGCTTCCTTTTTAATTCTCTACAGGAGCAATATATGATGGAGAATGGATAGGTTTTCCTACTCTATATAAAATTAAATATATTTCATATTTTTTCTAATAAAATAAAAAGGTAATTATAGAGATGGCATTGGAATTTAAATATGGTAAGATGGAGCTAGATATGAAGGATAATGGAAAGAAAATAAAGCTAATGGAAAAGGTAAATTTTTACACGTTGATGGGGATATTTTCGAAGGAGAATGGGAAAATAATAAGGCTAATGGTAAAGGAACATATTTACATGCTAATGGGGCTAAATATGACGGTTTGTTTTATTATAAAAAAAAATATATATAATTAATATTATTTATTATATAAATAATTTCTTTTTCTTTTTTTTTTTAAAGGATATTGGAAAAATGATTTATAAGAAGGATATGGAATAGAAACTTGGGCAGATGGTTCTAGATATGAAGGATATTATAAATAAGCTAAAAAAGATGGTATTGGGGTTTATATATGGTCTGATGGATCAAAATATGAAGGTGATTGGTTTGAAAATAGGTTTTTATTTTTTTTAATTCATATTTATATATATATATTATAATATTTATATTTATATTTATATATATATATATATATATATATATATATATATATATATATTTGTTGTTGTTGTAGAATTACTGGAAAAGGAATATACACATGGTTAGATAAACGTAGATATGAAGTTAATTTTTTAATTTATTGATTTCTTTAAAAAAAAAAAAAAAGGGTGAATGGTTAAATAATAATATGCATGGTAAAGGTATTTATACATGGTAGGATGGAAGAAGATATGAAGGTGAATATTAATATGATAAAAAACATGGATTCGGTACATATTATTGGGTTGATGGTAGATAATATAAAGGATTTTGGTAATATGGAAAGTATTTTTAAATAAAAAAAAATATATAAATTATTATGCTTTATTTTTTAATTATAATAATAAAAAGATAACATGGAAAAGGAAAATATACATTGCCAAATGGAGAAAGCAAAATTGGAATTTGGGAAGATGGAAAAAAAAAATATGGCTTGAAGGAGAAACTGAATTAAATTTGTAATAAGAATTAAAGGCTTGAAGAATGCTAATTTAGGGTTTTTTTTTTTATATATTTTCTTAAAAATATAGTATTTTTATTTTGAGGGGATTTTACTTAATAGTTTTTGTTAAAAAAAAAATGTTTATATGTTGTATTACTAATAATTTAAATTTTATATATTAATATAAGATAATAATTTGTTCGTAGAATTGTAAAATAATTGACAGATATTATATAAATAATAATTGATATTATATTTATTTATTTTATAAAATCTTATTTTATATATTTTTTTTTATTATAATATATGTTTTAAGTAAATTTGTTTGAATTATATAAATTAATTTATATATAAGTTGAATATGAATTAAATTTTAAATATAAAATCAAATCTATTTATTTTTAAATTTGAATTTTTTTGTTTTTGTTTAAGAATTTTTTTTAAAAAAATTTATTAATAAATATTAAGAAATTTCTTAATTTAAAAAAACATTTATAAATCTAAGGTTATGTAAATTATTATAAAAGCACTTAAAATTTATATATAATATATTATTAAATGCTATAATAAAACAAAAAAAAATATATTAAAAATAATTTTTTTTTAGTATGAATAAATAATAAAAAAAATATATTTAAAATGATATATCACATTTATATAAATATTGGAAAACAAACAATGTTTTATATTGTAATGGAAAATATATAGGAGGGTAGCTAAAACATTAATTTAATAATATAAAACAAAAATTATTATTATTTTTATTTTTAAAGATCGGATATAAAGAAATAGTTTGGGACATTTATTTTACTTAATGCCCCTATGTTATTATAATATATTTATATCATTCCTGTAATTAAGTTATTCGAAATTAAAAAATATATAGATTATATGATAATAAACAATTTTGTTAAATATAAAATATATATATAAAAAAAAAATAGTAAATGTATTATTCAGCATAAATAGGATTTTTAATAATACTTCATGTTTTGACAAATATTTTCTTTTTTATTTTAAGTTTAACGGACCCAGGAATAATGCCAAAAATTGTATAAAATTAAAAAATATTTTAAATAATAATGATATATATTTTTTAGAATTTATAATATGAAATTGATTAGGATGCTTTATAAATACCCTTATAATAATATGTAGTTTAAAAAAAAAAATAGTTAAAGTAAAACCTGGCTTTTTTAATTTATAATAAGTCATATTTTTTAAGATTAAAATATTGCAAAACATGTTATAAAAAGAAAAAAAAAAATTTAAAAAAAAATTAAATAAAAATATAAGGCTGTATATATAGACCTACAAGGACTTCACATTGTTACTCATGTAATAATTGTGTTGAAAGATTTGATCATCATTGTCCATGGTTAGGATAGTGTGTTGGGAAAAGAAATTATAGGTATTTATAAATATTTAGTTAATCTTTTGTAAATATATATATATTTTTAATAGATTCTTTTATTTTTTTTTATTGTTTTTATCATTTCTTTTAGTTGTAATTATATGTACAAATATAGATTTGTTAGCAAGAGATAATGTTGAACATTTAGCTGTTTGTATAATAATATTAGTGATATCATCATCTGTAATAATATATATATATATATTTATATTTTTATTTTAAAAAATAAATTAGTTTTCTATATTTGTTATTGGGTTATTTATTTTTCATAATTATTTAATAAGTATAAGTATGACCACAAATGAATATTTAAAAAAAGTCTGGATTTCAAACGGAAAGAATCCATTCCATAATAATAATTTATGTTTTAATTTTTTATAAGCAATATTAATATAAACTACATTTAAACGTATAAATCTTTAAAACAAAATTTATATAAGGGCAAAATAACAAAATGAATAATACATCAAAATCTCTTCAAGATAATTAGAAGATTAAATAATAAATAATAATTTAATAATTAATAATAATAATATAAATAATACTAATAATATTATAATATAAAACAATATAAGCAATAATTAAACGTTTATTTTTAATTAACAAATTATACCGAAATAATGTTTGTAAAATAAATTTTTGTACAGTAAAACGAAACAAATGTATGATATAAGAAACGAAGGAAATATAAATCAAACTTTTATTAATCAAAATTTAGTATAGTTTTATAAGATGGGACTAATAAAAATATAGAATTTATAAATTAGTCATAGATTAATGAATAAAACTTTAATAATATATTTAAAAATCATAATTAAAGAATTTAATCAAATACAGGAATTGTTCATATTATTAAAAATATATAATTTAATAAAAATGATATTTTAGAATAAAATAATATAATAAATAACAAAGATTAAATTTGTAAAATTATTTATAATTATAAAACTTTTCCAATATGAAACAAAAAAATAAATATAAATATAATGGCATATAAAAAAATATTTATAGAACTATCTATAAATAAAATTTAAAATATAAAAAATAAAAAAAATATAAAATTATTTTAATGTTTTGAATAATAATTATATATATATATATAAATATATAAATATATATATATATATATATATATATATATAATATAAAAAAAAAAATTAATAAATAAAAAAAAAAAAAAAAATTAATAAATAAATAAATAAATAATATAATATTTAATTTTTTTGTTTTAAATATAATTTTTTAAATATTATTTCTTTTAATATTTATTTTATATTAATTATTATTTTAATATTTATATTTATTATTTCATTAAGTGTTTTTTTCTAATTAATAAAAATCAATAGGTACTTCTATTTTTATATTATCAAAATTAGCAAAAATCGAATGCATATTACTACTTTTAACCCAACTTTAGAAAGTTAGATAATCAATAAACTAATTTAAAAAATATATAATAATTTTAGATTAAAATAATACTCCTTTTTTATTTCTATCTAATTAAGAGAAAATGTTTTCTATCTAATGATTTAAATTAGGAATATTTTGTTAAGCCCATCCATTTAATTTTGCTGTATTTATTGTTTATTAATTAAAACGTGTTTTGTTTGCAGTATCTCCTAAAATCATAAAAGCTGCTTTCCATGAATCTTCAAAGAATTCAATAAATTCTTTTCTTGAAATTCTATTATCTCCATCCTTGTCATAAGCTTTGAATGTATCTTATTTAGTTTTTATATTAAAAAAATATACATATATATAATATATACAGCTTATTCTCATTTCTTTGTCTTTTATTAAATTACTTAAACCTTAAAGAAATTCTTATTCATTAATATTATTTTCTTTATTCTTTTTTTTTTTTTATTTTTCATATGAATATATTTTATAATAGACAAATAAAATATATATATTTTATATATAAATGAAAAATATAAAAATATAAATAATTTAACTGTATCAAATATATTAAAAAGTCTCTCTCCTAAAGGTGTATATCGAATTCTTTTTATATTAAAGTTTTCTAAAACAGCTAACGCGTCATTAAATTTATCTTTGTATAGACTACCGTTAATTGCAACATTTTTAAATGATTATTTAATAAAGTTTTCAAAATTTTAATCTATTTAATTTTATTGTTATGCTACTTATACATCTGTTCCTGCTAAGTTTTTTATTTTAAAACAAATATTGATTATATTATTTAATTTATTATACATATAACTTAAGGTTTTTAAGGATTGTTTCCCATTTTTTATATTATTTTTTTTATTTTTTTATTTTTATTTTTAAGAATAGAAATTTTATTGAATGGTTTTATATATTATATAGATTTAAATAATTTATATTGATTTAGATTTTTTTTTTTTTTTAAATAAATATATTTTGTGTTTTATTTAATGATTTTTTGTTTTGTTTTAAAATTAAAAACGTATTATAATTATAAAAAAAATAATCTTAAAAATATTTTCTTTTTCTTTTGTTTTAAAAATAAATAAAATAAAAATGTTTAAATAAATAATTCTTTTAATAATAACAATATAAATTATAAAAGGAGATTCTATTTAATGTAAATGGACAGATAAATTATAAAATCAATATGATTTCTAACAATTATTTACATAATCTAAGTAAAAAAAGCCAAAATAAAAATAAAAAAAAATAGGCTTAAATAAAATAAAAACCAAAAAAAAAAAAAAAAATAGATATGTAGTAAAAGATGATGTTTCAGGATTAGGAATGTTTGAAATAGTATATGTATTTAATTTTTGTGAAACAGTAAAATGCTCTGATAAATAAGTAGCAGTATATGAGGGTTTATAAATATTAGGTGATTTAACCGAAAATTGTGATATAATAGCATATTCATCAAATCCTATATTTTCCCATATAGATGATATAGCCGAAAAGGGTGTTTAAATCTAATATACGGGTGATACATGTATTTTACCTCCAGTAATAAGATATGATGAGAATAATAATTTAATAACTAGTCAGGCAAAAGAAACTGGAGAGAAAAAAAAAGCTACAATAAATATTGTATGTAGTAATTATTAAGATAATAATTTTAAATTAGATTCAAGTGATTAATGTAATTTGAAATTCGAATTAAAAAGTCCTATAGGGTGTATTGGGGGTGGAAGTGGGAATTTTATTGCTTTGAAAGTTTTAATTATTTTCTTTTTAGGAATTTTAGCTTATATGTGTATAGGATATTAAATTAATAAATCGAAATATGGAATAACTGGGATAGAAGCCTTACCTTTGTATTTTTATATCTAAGATCTTCCGTATTTAATATAAGATGGAATGAAATTCACTTTTATATAGTTTACGGGATTAATTAGAAAAATTAAAGGCTTTAGAAGTTAAGCTTATGAATAAAATAATTCAAGTAAATATTAGGATATCTGAAATTTTATCTTTTTATTTTTTTTTGTATAATTTTTTTTATAATTAATTTAAAGTTTTTTGTTAAAATATATATATATCTTAATAAATGCAAAAAAATATTTATTAATCTAAAAATAAAAAAAGTAATAATAATAAATAAAAAGATATTTAAACAAAAAATATGATTAAATAAATATCCAATCTAATAAAATACAATATAACAGTTCGTCAATAAAACCTTCATAAACGTTTACCTGAAGCCGATCCTTAGCTATAAAAAATAATCGAAAATGAAATGTAGCGCTAAAACACAAGTATTTCATTAATTCCATTCGAAAATCGAGCATCTGTTTCTGTAAACTAAGCCTTAGGATCAATTATGAACTGTAAATATTCCGAAGGTTATCCTAATTTGAGATATTATGGAGGAAATGAATATATAGATTAAATGGAAATATTATGCCAAAACCGTGCTTTGAGTTTATTTAATTTAAATAAAAAAGAATGGAGAGTAAATGTTTAATGTCTAAGTGGTTCTCCAGCTAATTTCTATGTGGTTTCTGCCCTTATAAATAATCATGAAAGGGTTATGAGTTTAAACCCATTTGAAGGCGGACATATATCACATGGACTTTAATTAGGAAGAGAAAAAATATCTGCTGTAAGTAAATATTTCGATGTATTAAATTATGGATTAAAAGATGATAAAACTATTGATTATGATAAATTAGAAGAACTATCTAGTCATTATTTACCAAAATTAATTATTGGAGGAGCCAATGTATATCCTAGATAAATTAATTATAGTAAACTAAGGTAAATATGTGATAAAATTAATGCATAATTACTAATTGATATTTCTGATGTTGCAGGACTTATTTCTACTGGTTTAATTGAGAGTCCTTTTCCTTATGCTGATGTAGTAACTACTACTACACATAAAAGGTATATATATATATATAAATATAAAAATATATAAATAAATATATAAATATATATATAAATATATATATATATATATATATATATTATTTATTATATATATATATATCTATATATATATTTTATCTATATATTTTTATAGTTTAAGAGGACCAAGAGGAGCTTTAGTTTTTTGTAATTTAAAAGATTAAAATTTAATATAGAAAGTTGATTTTGCTATTTTTCCTGGAAATTAAGGAGGTCCTCATAATCATACCATAACTTCTATTGGTGTAGCTTTAAAAGAAGCATAAAGTATTTCTTTTAAATAATATGCAAAGTAGGTTGTTATGAATGCAAAAAAATTAAGCGGATTTTTATAATATAAAGGATTTTAAGTATTTACAGGAGGTACTGATAATCATTTAGTTAGTATTGATTTAAGTAATAAGGAAGTTAAAGGAAATGTAATTGAAGAATTTTTGGAACAAGTTAATATAATAGTGACAGGATGTAGAATATAAGGCTAATAGAATAATTTATTACATTTAGGAACTTATGATTTAACTAATAGAGGATGTGAAGAATAAGATATGGAAATAGTAGGTGGATTTATAATTTAAGCTTGTGAAATTTTAAAGGGAAAGGTCATAATTGAAGAAGAGTTAAAAAATAATTAAAAGGTTTTGGATTTAAAAAAAAAAGTTTAAAATTTTTGTTAAAAAAAATAATATTGATTAATTTTTATATATATTTATTATTATTATATATAAAAAATTATATTAAGAAGAAAAATTGTAAATATGTAAATTTATAAATAATATATATATATAAATAATATATATATATTTATATTTATATATAATAATATTTTATTTCAATATAAATTATAATCTAATGTAAAGTTATTTTAATATTTAATTATGGAGGAATTTCATCACAAAAAATCGTAACATTTTCATTTACGAAATTATCTTCGAGATCAATTTCTTTATTTATAATATCATTTTAATTATGTACTTAAATTGACAAAAGTCCTCTTTTTTCAAAAAGTACTAAATTTACAAAATTCAGTACTTCATCTTCATCTAAATACTAAACTTCCTCCACAGTCTATTCTTTTGTCCAAAAATCGTAATTTAGATATTCAATATTTTCTATCAATTCATTAAAAAATTCCATTTATGAACTTCTTTTTTCTTGTAAATTCTTTATAGTACTTTCTTTCATATTATTTAATCTTTCGGATATATTATCCTGTAAATATTCGAAGTATTTAACTAATGATTCGTCTACGTAATTATATAGAAGAGTTGCTTTTTATTAATCACCCATTACTTATATTAGAATCCCATCTATATTTCCTATAGATATTATTTCAGCACATACTACATATCCTAGTTATTATTCAGTACGTAATTTTTTATATATATAATTATTTAAATCATTTATTATTAGATTTAAAATTCCATAATTTTTATATGTTCTTATTCCTATTTAATAATAATTTAATAAAGCTCTATTTTTGTTATCTTATTATCCATAATTTTTTATTCTATATATATATATTATTTTTAAGTATTATATATCTTTATTTTAATAGATATAGTTTTTTTAAAAAAATAAAATAAAAATAAAAAGAGAATATAAATTTTATTTTATTTTAAATTTAATAAATTATATTTTTATTAAAAATACATAAAAATAAAAAAAAATAAGGTTAAAATGTAATAAATATTATATATATATATATTTTTCATTTTTTTTTTTAAAAATAAATTAAAAAAATAAATGTAAAAAAAGTTTATATATTTGTTATAGGACTTTTTTTGTATTTTTAATTAAGATAAAAATAAATAAATAAAAAATAATAAAAAAATATGTACAAATAATAATATTAAAAATAATATATGTATATATTTATTTATATATATAAATATATATTAATAAATATATATATATATATATATATATATATATATATATATATATATATATATACTTTTTTTATTTGTTTTTATATATATAATATATATATATTCTTTACCTTATTATATACGTATGTAAAGGTTCTATTTTAACTATATTTTATTAAGGAATATAAGATAAATTATCTTCTGTTTATTAAAATATATTTTCTATTTAATTTAATAATTCTTATGCTTATTTAGCTTAAATATTACCATATATAAGTGCTTTTAGTTTTGTTTTATTCTAATATAAATCAAATATTTATTATATTTTTTCTAGTTTAAGATTTTCTATTTCTTTTATTATTTCTTCTATATCAAAATGTTTGAAAAGTAGTGCCTTACTAAGAAAAAGATAAAAAGCTTATTTCTAAGGATCTAGTTATAAATATTATTTTTTTTCTTCTAAAATTTGTTATTTAACTATTTAAAATTTTTCTTTTTTTATTTCCATATTTTTCCATTTTTTGAAAATTTCGGGACAAAATTCTCCGAATTTCTCACTCCAACCTGCAACTTTTATTTTCATAGAGGCCATTTTAAACTCTATTTATAATTAGAAACCGGCTTCTTGTGCTTAAAGGGATTATTCTAAAATCTCATTCTTAAAAAACTACACTAAGACACTCATTGCGGCAATTTCGGATATATTATTTTACATATTTGGAAATTAAATATCAAAAAAAGCATAACTTAAGGGCTATTTATAATAAGAATCTAACATATACCACCCTTCAATGTTATTCTAATATTTTATTAGAGAAGGATTTTATTAATTTTTCTAAATATAATCTTGCAAACCACATTCTAAAGCCTAAGAATCACTGATATAATCAAAAGACTTAAAATTATATAGTTCTTTTTTTTCACTAAAAGGATTTTTTTAGCCTATATTATCATTTTTAATCTACATATCGTTTTATATACAAATATCAACTAATTCTTCCTACAAAGGAAGATATGGATTTTATTATTGGGGTAAAAAAGGTGTAGTATTATTTTTTTCTAGTTAAAAGAAATTAGGATTGTCTAATTTTGTATATGAAATATTAAAGGTTTTGTCATAATTTTAATAGGTATTATTTTTTTATATTTTTTCGTTATTTATTATTATTATATTTTCGTTATTTTAGATTTATTCGAAGATGTTTTTTATAAAATCTTGGTCTAATTCGTCTTGCCAAATGTAGTCTTTTATTAAGGCTTCCTTAAAATTAAAATTATTTAAATTTCGGGCTATTTAGGATATTCCATCTTCGTTAAAAATATCGGTTTCTTGGTTATTATAATGGAATTTTAAAGACTCTATTTTACCTTTTTCGTTATAATATGAAGTCTTTATTTCATTTTATTTCAAAAAATCTATAAAAAGCATAAATTAATTCACTATTTCTTGGCTTTTTTAGAGACTTTATACTGTAATTTTACAACCGAAAATAACGTAGTTTTTACCTTCAAAATAAATTTCCATTTTTAAGTCTAAAATGTTATAGTTAGTTTCTAAAAACTCGTAAAAATCGTGATTGCTTTCAATTAAATAAATAAGGAATTCTATTCCTCTTTTTTTATAGGAGAATTAACTTATTTAGACTTAAAAAATTATAAAAATCTCCTCGTTTTATCCACCAAAGGAAGTTTTTATTTACTAAAAACCTTAATTGAAAATTTTTTAGTCTGTTATTTTGTCCTAGTCTTCTTCTTATAGTTAGTTTTGGATAGGAATCTGATTAAATGGCTAAATAAAATCTAAAATATTTTCTATTTCTTCATTTGTGTATATTACAAGCTTCATATTTTCACTTGTATAGTATTTTTCTTTAAAGTTTTATAGGTTTTCAGCCAGATTAGGTACTTAGGATAATTATTCGGCATTTCCAATATTAAATTTAGAAAAAGGATGTTATGGATTAGCTAATAATTTTAATAAATTTAATATTTTCCAACCAGAATCATTAATATCAATCTCATATTCATCATTTACAGCCAAAAGTTCTTTTCTGATTAAAATATCATCAAATATAGGAGAAATAAACATATTAGAAAAAATATCAAGTACATCTTATAAATAATTAGTATTTACTTTCAAATAAAAAGTAGTATTTTCATTTTAAGTTTCTCTATATATATATATATATATATATATATATATATATATATATATATATATATATATATATATATTTATTTTGTATATATTATACGCATTTGAATAACCTCCATTTAATGCTAAAAAATTATCCAAAGAACTAATATCCGGATATTTTTCATTTGAAAGAAATAATATATGTTCCAATAAATGTGCTAATCCGTTTATATTTTATTGAAAACTTCCAGCTTTGACATCTAATGCTACAATAGAGAAATTTTTATTTGTGTTTTTAATAATCATTACCTATAAACCATTATATAATGTTTTTAGTTTATATTCATTTTTATCTGTTTTTGATTTTATTATGTATTTTTCTGAAAAATCTTCTTTTTTGTTAAATTTTGAAGTTAAATTTAATATGTTTATTAAATATAAACTAAAAAAAGCAAATATTAATAAAATTATTCCGATTATTAAAAGAATGCATATAATAGATAATAAATCGTGATTTTAGTTTATTTTTTATCTTATTTGAGACTTTTTAGAGTTTAAATAGTACTTTATTTATGAAAAGTTTTTCTTTTTTTTTTAATAGCAATCTGATTTTAAAGGAACTAATAGATTTTAGTTTTCTTCATCTTAATTTTGTTGATTTTGGTAGATTTAGGCGTCTATTTCTTCTTGGATTTATTTGATGTATTAGCCTGTTATTGGTTCAACGTTTTATTCTTCCATTTTTATATTTTTTTTATTTATTTAATTTATTTTTTTTTGTTAAAAAAAATAAATAAAGATATATATATATATATATTATATATGTTTGTATTTATTTAATTTTTTTGTTAAAAAAAAAATAGAAATACACATATAAATAATTTGTAATATTTATTTATTTTTAATTTCATAGTGGTTTTTTAAATTAAGAATTATTAAAACGTTTTTTATTTTCTTTATTTATTCCCATATCAAATTCTAAAAACTTTATTTTTTATAAGATTTTTTCAGTTTAAAAATTTTATTCATAATTTTTTATTTTTTTTTCTTCTTGTAAAAATTAAATATTTACTTTAAAATCATTATTTTATGTATTTTTAGAAAAAAAATTATATGGTCTTTTAAAATATTAACTATTATTAAAAACACCATTTTTACTACTTGAAATATGAGTTATTTTAGAAAAATTGCCTTCGTTTTTTCGAAAAAAGCATTATTTACAAAATTTATTATTATCTTAAATTTAAATATTATTTGTATATTTTAATTTTTTTAATATTTATTATTATTTAATTTAATATAAATTAAAGCCTTCATTATTACACTAAATGCATTTCATTTTTTAATTATTAGTACTATATGTAGAACTTGGTCTTTGTTTAATTATATTTTATTCAATAATATTTTTTTTTATTTATAGTTTTTCTTAGTTTAGAATTTAAAATTTTTAGTTTTTTTCATAAAAAAACTGATAATTAAATGAAAAAGGTATGTTATTTTTAGGAAAATCAAATAAAATTTAATTCCAGTATATTAATTAGGTTTTTTCATTTAATTTTATAAAATAAAATAAAGCCTATTTTAATTTACTTTATTGTATATATTCTATATTTTAAACGATTTATTAAACTGTATATTTTAGGTTTAATTCTAATTGTTCATTATCTATTTTCTGGAATTGGTTTAAGAATATATTAAAGTCAGTATATTCTTTGTTTGTTTTATATTTAAATACTTATGTATAGTTTTCATTATATTAAACTCTGAAATATTCATTTTGGAAATCTTTTTTGTTACTAAATAATTAAATAAATATATTTTCAGGGTTAATATTCTTTAAACTATATTATTTTGTTTCGAAATATTTTGTAATCTCAGATTTTTCTTATAAATATTTTATTTTTAATATGTTTTCGTTTATAAGTATATATTCTATAAGTATTTTTTGGTTTTATAAAATATATTAGAGAATTTTTTAAGGAGAACTGTTTTCAGAATTTCTTTTAAGTATTTTTCCTGTTTATTATGAACGAAATAACCAAAGAAAATTGAAAAATTAATCTATAATTAATGTTTCTGGAAAATATAAAAATGTAAATTAAGTTTTTTATCTGTTTTATGAATTAAATAATTCATTAAAAATATTAAGCATTTTATAATAATTATAATTAAAAAAATAAATAATAAAAATTAATGATATCTAAAAAAGAAAAAAGATAATAATTTTATTAAAAAAAATAAAAATATATAAATATATATAAATATATAAATATTCAAATATATATATATTAAATAAATATAAATCTATATTTAATATATCTATTTATATAAATATATTTATATTTATAATTAATATTTTTATTTTATATTATTTTTTTTAATAATTTTAAAATAAATATTTTTTTTTATTTTTTGTTTCCTTTAAATAAACCTTAACAAGAAATTATTTTTAATAATAATACAATATTTATATTTTTATATTTAATATTAATTTTAAATTTTTTTATTTTCGTTTTATTTAAACATAGATAATATTTAAATTAATAAAGCTTTTATTTATAAACTATAAATTATTTTTAATAATTATATAGGTATATTTTTTAATTTTTATCTTAATTTTAAAATTTATTTATATTTTTTATGTATTTTTTTTATTAAATATTTTACATTCTGTATTTTATAAATAAAAAGTTTTTTACTTATTAATCTATTTATTTTTTATAATTTTAATATTTAAATATTATATTTAATATAATATTTTAATTTAAATTAAATTAATATTTAAAAAAAAAATATTTTATTAATATTGGTTAAAATTATTAATATTTAAATATTTTTAAACTTTATTTGTAACATTTTTAAATAAATTACCTTTTAAATTTCTTTAATTTTGATATTCAAAAAGTTATAAAATTATATTTTTATTTTTAATGGAAATCAAATATTTAATATATATAGGATAAAAATAATTTTTTTTTAAAAAAAAAAAATTTAAAAAAAAAAAAAATATTTATAAAAACAAAAATAATTTAATTTTTTTTTTCATAATATTTTTTTTTCATAATATTTTTTTTTAATTTTTTTTATAAAATATTTTATCAATTCATTTTTTAAAATGTTTACTATATATTTTTTAGTTTAATTTTATTTAAATTTATTTAATTTAGTACTTTAATTTATGTTTATTTTTAAATTAAGTTTTTTCATTTTAATTTAAATAATTACTTTATTTTATAAAATGATAATTTTATAATTTTAATATATTTTCAGTATAATAATTTTTTTTTAATTAATATTTTCGAAATTTATTAGAAATAAGTATTTTTTATAGAATAAAAACTAGTAATTATTTAAAATAGAAAAAAAATTATAATATTAATTAATACAGAATCCCAAAAATAAAAAATAAAAAATTTATTATAAAAAAATAAAAAAAAAATTAAAAAAATGAATTTAAATAATAAAATTATTGTGTAGATAAACGAAAAAATCGAATAATTATGGAATAAAAAATATTTCAAATATGAAATTTCTACTTCAAATTAAAATACAATATAATGGAATGAAATCGAATAAAATTAAATAAATTTATCGATTACTGTAAGCTAACACTAAAGAAATATTAATTGTAAACTTAACAAAAATATATTTTAATGGTATGCCTATTACAATTTGTAAATGCCGACAATATATGTAAATATAGAAAATGGTTAATAAAATGAAAATTATATTTTATTTATTGATTGTGTTATTTCTAAGTCAAATAAAATATAAGAAAGATTTAATATGAAAGGAGAAAATATTAAAATACATAAAAATGAATAAAAAATAATAGAATTTAAATAGTTGTAGTTTAATAATTTTTAAAAATATAAAGTAAAAATATTTATATACTTTTTCAGAATATATTAAATATATTTTTTATATTTTAAGAAAGCCTAATAGCATATTTGTATTTATATTTTGCTGATAAATGATGATTTTGAAATATAAGTTAAGGGTGGATATATTAGTTCTGGATTTTAGTTAAATCAAGGAAAAATCACATCAAGAAATGGTAAAATAATTATATATATATTTTATTATCTTTATTTTTAAATTTGACTTTTTCTTATTTTTGTATATTGTTCATTTTTTAATTTATCTTTTTTGTTGAACTACCTACATTTTCTATTTGTTCTAATTTACTGTTTAAAAATTAAAAAGAATAATAATTTTAAATATATAATAAAAAAAATTATATAAATGGGAAAACTATTTGAAAATATAATAATTATATATTTATGATAATTTAATATATAAATATAAATATATAAATATATATATATATATATAATATATATATATATTATTTTTCAGTACAAAGATTTAAATTATTTTTCTCCACATTATTTAAAATTACCTATAATTAATTAGAATAAAAATAAAAACAGCTTATATATTAAGATGATATAGAAGCATTCTCTTAATATATTTTTGAGTCTAATACAAGACACAAAGTAATATTTAATTTTTTATTTTTTTTAAATTATTTTTCATGAATTACTAAAATATATTAAAAATTTTTTTTACATTAAATAAAAAAGATAATTAACCCTTTATTTTTGGCATTCAAATTTCCAAAAAGTATTTAAATATATTTGTAAAAATAAAGATTTTCTTAATTTTTGAATGTATAAATAAATATAATATTAATTTTTTATATTTTTTTCTTTTAATAGCAAGTTGAATTAATTAAATGTTTTTTCAATTTATTAAAAGAAAAAATTAAAAGTTAATTTGAAAAACCTATAAAATTATTTATAAAGCTCAACAAAAATGACGAAATCCTTAAATAAAAAGTAAAATTATAGAAAACTAATTTAAATTATATAAAAGAATTTTTTTTTAATATAAATTTAAATTAAAAATAAATAATATTTCGAATTAATATGATAAAAGCTTTATCCAAAATATAATAAAATTAAAATAAAATAGATATTTATAAATTGTCAATATAAATATAAAACTAAAAAAATTTTTATTGTTAAAAATAATATATTATATTACAAAAATACTTATTTTTTAGATTTCTAAAGCATTATCTATTCTATAAAAAAGTGGATGTAGTTTAGACATAAGTTAAAATGATTTTCACTCTGAAAAGTATTTTCATCTTAATTTAGATGTATTAAAATTAACTATATATAATTTTACTGAAAAAAAATAAAAAAAAGGAATAAATATTAAATGATTATAAAAACACTTATTATTTAGAATATTATGACTATTATGATAAATGTAAATAAATATATTCTAATTGTACTATGCGCATATAAGAATTATTTAATAATGATTCTGTCCTTTAAAATAAAGATAACTTTAATGGAAATAAAATATATATTGATATAAATGCTTATAATAAAATCTCAAAAAAAATTAAACCTATATGTATTGAAAAAATAAATGTTTATAGAAAATGTAATCTAAACTCTAATATTTAATAAAAATAATAATATTAAATTTAAATATTAAATCAAAGTGTATAAAATCAAGTTTAATCTTAAAACTTAATTAATGAGTAAAAAATATATATTTAAAAAAAAAAAAAAAAAAAAAAAATATTAATCTATATTTAAAAATTTAAGAACAACAGAAAGTTAATTAATTCCTTTTTAAAACACTTTTATGTAATATATGCCTTAATATTAAATATAAGTACCTTTCTCAATTACTATTCCTATTTACATTTAAAATCCTCT